AATTATATCCCATTATGGAGGAGTGGTTCGATTCAAGAATCTAATAGCTCTTGGTAATTTAATCATAAGTTCATTTTACGAAGTCGTACTTGAATAAGTGCATTTTTTTTTTTTTTTTTTTTTTTTTTTTTTTTTTTTTTTTTTTTTTTTTTTTTTTTTTTTTTTTTAGTCAAGCCGCGTTTACACATTTCACAAACTATGGGGGATATTAATATGTAAATAGACTGTTTCTCAAGGCTAATGACAAATCAGCTGTCGGTTTTTAAATAAAAATCAAGTTTTTGTTTGTGCTAGTATCACTTTTACACGTTTGGTTATTGTTTGTGTTGCGTGGGAATGTTTTTAAATTATAATAATATCTGTTAGAATTTAAATTAATTTCTTTTGTTTCGTTTTCTTTTGCGTATTTTTATATCTTTTTAAAATTGCTTTAGGTTAGGGTAAATGTGTTTCCCTACGATTGCTATGTTTTTTTTTATCTGAAAAAAAAACTCTGCTCGTTGTGTTTCTTATTTCCGTATGTTTGTTTTTCGGAAACATGTAAACCAGACTTTATTATACTTTTTAATAGCTCTACTTATAGAAAATTTCGTTCTTCAGGCGTTAATGTTGGCTTTTTTTACTATAAGACGTTTTTATATAAACTATATTTGTAATTGTGTTGGAATATAATACATTGTAACAGGGGTCTGCACAGTTTTTGTCCCGCAAATCTAATTGAGACCTCGACTAATTTGTACAGACTCCTTTTTATCAAATTATTAAAATCCATCTGAAACTTCATAAATAGCTTAATCTCATCATTACCTACAAATATTTTATTTACGAAAAATCTCGGAATTTAGGCGTTTTCAATCTGGAGAACTTTTTCTATTTAATTAGGTACTAAAACCTCGTAAATACCCATTTTCTTTCCACGTGGATCTGAAGATAGTTTTATCACAAAATCGAAAAAAAAAAAAGGTGGCCTACAAAAATATTGGGCGGTTTGGCTTATATAACCTCGTTATTTTGACAATTTGGTGGTGAAGATCGAGTCAAACGGTTAAATATTTTTCAAGGCCACTATTTTCTAGACTTTGTGCTGTAGTTATCTTACGATTCAAGTGGAAATCAAATGGGTATTTACGAATTTTCAGTACCTAATTAAATAGACAAAGTTTGCCGACTTTTAGATTGAAAACGTCCCAATTCCGAGAATTTTTGTAAATAAAATATTTTTAGGTTACGATGAGATGAAGCTATTCACGAAGTTTCAGCTGGATGTTAATATTTTGATAAAAATGGGTCTGTACCACGGGCTACAAATTTTGTGGGGCGCATTGAGACCTCCAAGTCTCACGGCCCATGGCTTGTGATGAAAAAAAAAACTTTTTCTATTTCAGCAGTGAAAAAAGCTTTCTATAAAAAAAAAAAAAAAAAACTCATGAAATAAATGTTGTTATATAAATCATGTATGGGTAATTTACTAAATTTCATATTTTTAATTAGTTCTTAAAATTTTACCATGTGATCAAAGAATGTTTCGCGAGCCGGATTGAAGATGCTTGTGTTTTGTGAAATCCATGCCTTAGAATAAACAGTTAATACTGCCTTTGGAATACGAAGCCTTTATCTCCTGTATTGTGTTTTCCTCTGCTCAATGACGAAAATTTATTTTATTTATAAAGTTTCTGGTCAATGTATATTATGGTTATAATAACCAAAGTCCTTTTTTGTAGATTTTTTAAAATTGTTTTCTTAATATTTATGTAGAAATTATTTCACTTGTACGGACAAGAAAACTTAATTATCTTTTGTACTGCTTTGAAACTGGCATTTGTAAAAGAAAACCAACATTGTGTTACTTATCCGTCCACTGTTACAAGTTAAAAATAAACATAGAAGTATGATGGCCTTTATCTTGTTTTCCACTTGTGTTTAGTAATCTTTTCTCCCATTTCTAATGACCATTCTTAAAATAAATATCTTCGCAAGTTTAGAAATTTAGCGATTATTCTGTTTTGAAAGTTCAAACAAAACAGACTTGTTTGCAAGTTGGAATCTATTTTGAGATAGTATAAGTAAACGTTTATGATAAAAGAAGGACAAATATAGACAATTGTTGAAGGCATTCGATGTAGAAGTTGAAATTAGCTTAACATGTTAATTCGTACGTATTTATAATATAATATTTTCAAGGCAGTCGATTCAACAAAATACATAATTAGTGAAACATCATACTTTACCATGACTGGTAATTTACTTAATAATTGTTTAGCAATAAGATACTATGCCATCCCTCTACTTATAATAATCCTATGTTTATGTCAATAAAACCTCTAAATGAACCTATTCTGTAGCGTTTTTTTAAGAATTACAGTAATATGTTTAATAAATAACAATAAGCTAATAGATAAATAAATGCAAGACCAAGATCTAGACCAAGACTCGTCTAGTTATGACAACCATAAAACCTCAGAAGTTTTCGGCGAGAATTAATATCTTCTGGTATTGGCAGGAATTACAAAGGAATTATATGAGCCTATCAGCTGACAGAATGACTAACCCCAATTTCAACATTTTTTAGTATAGTCATTTTAATGATAATTATAGTTGGAAATGTACAGACAGTGAGTAAAGTGATTCCAAAGTAGCTGATAACATAAATGTATCAGATATATGTATGAACTTAGAATAAATGTATAAATTTTCCCACTAGAAATATCACTAAAATTAATAATCAAAAATGTTGAAATTGGAGTTAGTCATTCTGTCAACTTAAAGGCTCATCTATACAAAATTCTTGTCGATATTCCGTCTCGATTAGTAGACTTCTATAACCATCTGAGTTATGAAATTTTCAATTTCTTCAATTACTTTTATTTTTGTTGTAGTTAGGTTTTCAAGATATAAATTGGAACTCTATCGCTCCTGTGAGCCGTAAAACGGATCTATACTCCCGTGTTAAATATAGATATCTACAGATTATTTTCAGATATCATTTCACAATGATAAAGGATCAGTTTACTTATTTTTAACATTAATAAATATATGTTTTGTTTCTTCGTATTCGATCATTTTTCATGAAAAAACTCTTGTTCACAATTCAGTTATATGAGTTCGTGAAGAATATTTGATATGAATCATGAAAACAATGAAGGGTTTAATTCCGAATTCAATACGTTAAATTTGAAGTTAAACTGATACCTAACCTCGACATCCTATCAGTATTTTCAGATTGGACTCAAGAAGAATTGTATTAATCCTATAGCATAGATTAAAATCAAGACAGAACATAACAAACTTTCGTTATTTCTCTCTTTTACATACAAAAAAATTTAGTGACTTTTACATTTTATTTTATCTTAGTATTAGGAGAGTAGGAGATAACAGGAGCTCAACTTATTAGGTTATTATTTTACAAATTATACAGCTGTTCATTTAATTACATATGTGTCGAGCTCCTCTTACATCCTACTCTCCTAATACAAAATAAAGATTTTAAACAAAACTCTGTGCTGGAAATGGTATTCATCTGGAGGTGGTAATTTAATTTTACCTAGGCGACAACAGTTATTCTTCGATCTAGACATTTTTTCTTTAATACAACATAATAACTATTATAATGAATATAATACTATTTATATTATGCTGCGATATAATTATAATTATTATGAAATAGAAAAGGAAGCACATACAATGTATGATGAAAATATTAGAAATGAAAGGCTCAAATTATTGTTGGGCTCATATGAAACTGTACAAGTTATATATATATTATGGTTACAAATTGACAATAAGGCGCAATGTATAGATTTTTAAAGAAATCAAAAATTTGTCTGAACTGTGGTCTCGTTCGGTTTATTTTATGTTGATAAAATATTATACAATCTGAACTACAGAGAATACATCTAAATTAAAGTTGTATAATTTGTAAAATGGGGGTTGGTTCGCCGTTAATATTTATATGTAAGGGGGTTTCCTCCTAGTATCTATATATAATCATGTTATATATCAGTTTTTTTATGGCATGACATGTCATGACAACGGTGCTATGTGGAATGATTTCAGTTCCGGTAGCATTAGCAGTAAGAGCCCCTATTGTCATTTCCGTTTCTCGACCCACATGATCGTATATTGTTCATGATTGTAGTAGTATGTGAACTCATACAAGAAATGTTTTTGTTATAAAATTGACAATCGTAGTCCATGGTTAATTACTATACTTTACTATTTTTATATAAATAGAAAATTTTGTACGTTTGACGTGTTCCCCTTCCAGCTGGTACTAAAGTTAATCTGAATCTCAACTTACTGAATAAATCCAATGTGGCTAAGTACTTGTTGCTTTGCCGGTTGAAGAATCGCTGTCATCAATAAACATGGATTGCGCTGTTCCGTTGATGTTTTGATTAAATGATTTTTTGATGTCCATAATTTATCTTTGCAGGCTGACAGTTTGTAACTAAATTAATCGTTCTCGTGGTATCACTTGAGAAAAATTAAGGGAAGGCTTTATAAAAATAAATTATAACCGTTATATCAAATTTATTACTTACTAAAACTAATTTTTTTTTCTGATCCTCTATTTTATTTTTCAACTATTACGTATATAAGTATATACAATATAATATGCATATATATCTTCACTAAAATAAAAAAAAAAAACATAAACTCAAAAGATCATACATGTACATTTAATCCCTTTCTTACCGGATGAGAGTGGTTAATAAATTTGCTCAATAACACCACAAACTTATAATACATTACACAGTAAATATACATCTAAGGTTTGTCCTTTTTCATTGAGTTTCTTCAAAGCATTCCTTTTTGACGGAATGTTTTAGTGAAGTTAGAGGAACGACTATTAGCTCAGGCTGCTGAATAAACATTTAAATGGCTTATCTGTCTGTATTTATTACGTTATTGTTTCTTAATGGTTTCATTTCATTTATTTTTGTTTAGTTTATAATATGTTTATTTTTTAAATCAGTAAAAAGAATATGTTTTCTTTCTAGGACGGCTCTTCAACTGGAGACTGGCTTCCCTCCCTTCATGATCTGATGCTGTGTCCTAGCGACGGCCAAGAGTCTTCTGAGGATTCTTATGTGGCTTTTGTATCTCAGAAGGAACCCTTCAGCTATCCAATTGTAAATTTATGAGTAGCTTTAATGGAAACGAGACAATGAACCCTTAAATATGTTGTAATGTGATTTTTTTTATAATGATTTAGTGACTAAATGAACCAAGGACTATTTGTAAGATGGCCGTTATGGAGGGCTCCCTAAGCAAGTGGACTAACCTTATGAAAGGATGGCAGTACCGATGGTTCGTCCTGGACGACAATGCTGGGCTGCTGTCCTACTACACGTCGCGAGAGAAGATGATGCGGGGTGTGAGGCGTGGCTGTGTCAGGCTGAAAGGGGCTGTCATCGGTATAGACGATGGCGACGACAGTACATTTACCATCACGGTGGACTCGAAGACATTCCACTTCCAGGCAAGGGACGGTGACGAAAGAGAGAAGTGGATACGCTGTCTCGAGGATACTATTATGAGACATGCCTACGGTTACAAAAATCCTAGTTCTTTGCGTTTAGATTCAATGAGGCCTTCTGTAACGATGCAAGATTTCGATAAAAAGTTGGCTGAATCTGATGGCTACTTACAGATCCTGATAAATCAAATCAAAACTATTGAGTTGAAAATGGAGTCCGATTTAGATGCAGAAGAAAAGGCAAAGTGTGAAAATATTATTTCACACACAAATAATTTACTTGAGCAAGTGAAGCACACAATTGTTCTACTTCAAATAGCTAAAAATACAGCTTACCCTGTTAATGGTACCTACCAGCCCATGGACAAAATCGATTCCTCACCCAATCAGCTCGACCACAATTCGCCACTTGCTTCTACTTCCATGGTCGTATCGGATGCTGCCTTCGCGCTCCCGCCTAGTTCGATAGGTGTGCCAGAAACCTCGTATTCCACGTCCGAAGAAGAAGATTTTTATGATGCTCACGACAGCAGTGATCCTCCGAGCCCTACTGTTATGAAACACTCATTCTCTCAAAACATGAATGCGAGTTTTGATGCTGCTGACAATGAACATGACGATGAAGGAGAAGCAGATGGAGGTCCTATGTTGAACCCTAATTCCCCTCCTACCTACGTCAAATCCGATGGGAGTTTAGATTATGATGCTTTATATGAAGATCCGGAAGAAACAAACATTTCAATGGAAAGCCAAGGCTCTGTCGTAAGCCATCTGCTTTCTCAAGTGAAGATAGGCATGGATTTAACAAAAGTCGCTTTACCTACATTTATTCTTGAGCGACGTTCCTTGCTGGAAATGTATGCTGATTATTTCGCTCATCCTGATATGTTTGTTAGGATTTCTGATTTACCAACTGAAAAAGAGCGAATGGTGCAAGTTGTTCAGTGGTATCTCTGTTCATACCATGCTGGGAGAAAAAGTTCTGTCGCCAAGAAACCCTACAATCCGATATTAGGAGAAGTATTTCAGTGTTTTTGGGATATTCCAGGGATCGACATTGATAGTGGCGAAACCGAACCGGTGAAGGATGGCCCTGTTCCGTGGTGCAACCCTTCGCAGTTGACCTTCGTGGCCGAGCAAGTGTCCCATCACCCTCCTATTTCAGCGTTTTACGCGGAGCACTATGATAAACAGATAAGTTTTAATGCGCACGTTTGGACAAAATCGAAATTCCTAGGCTTATCAATAGGTGTTCACAATGTTGGATGCGGAGTGATAAATGTGATTAAATATGATGAGCAGTATATCGTAACATTCCCTAACGGTTATGGTAGGTCTATCCTGACCGTGCCGTGGATCGAACTTGGTGGATCAGTATCAATCACTTGTGAAAAGACAGGGTATAGAGCCACCATCGAGTTCTTGACGAAACCGTTTTACGGTGGCAAAAAACATCGGGTACTCGGAGAAGTTTATGCACCCAATGAGAAAAAATCATTTTTAACCGTAACCGGCGAGTGGAATGGTGTGATGCAGGCCAAGTGGGCAGATGGTAGAACGGATCAGTTTGCTAACGTCAACAGCCTCTCGATAATAAAGAAAAATGTCCGTCCTATTGAATTTCAAAACGAAAATGAATCTAGAAAACTGTGGAAAGAAGTCACAGCGGGTCTGAGATTGAATAACGTCTCGCACGCCTCAGACGCCAAGTACAACCTGGAGCAGAAGCAGAGGCAGGAGGCCCAGCAGCGCAAGGAGAGCGGCCTCGAGTGGGAGACCAAGCTCTTCCAGCGCGATGGCGATGACGGCTGGCTTTATGTAAATCCTCTTTCTAAGAGACTGGATCCTTATACTAATAGGTAGAAAGAATTATAGCTAGGAGCTCATTTTGTTTTGTTTTTTTTAAATTTTCTTCTTTTGTAAATTGGTTTAAGTAATTTATGCACACTTCATAATATGGATTACTGTGTAAATATACAGATATATATTTGTATAAAGTTATTAAATTGATATATATATATTGTTTCTATAACGTTATTTTTTAATAAGTTGCTTAAAACCCTTTGAAATCAGAACTTCATATTTAAATAGTTTCTTTTGTAAATAGTTAACAGAACTATATTTAATGAAAGAGAAAAAAATAATAATATTATATCAAGGCTATCTCCAAACGAAAGATTTCCAAATTAGGTTAAGAAGAATAACTTATTTAATTGAATTATGAAGTCACGAGTTTTATTTCCATTCCTCTTTCCCTTTGTGCTTCGTAAAATATTTGCTCCTTATACTATGAAAAGTTCTAGGCTTTGCTTTTCATAAGTATCATTTTCAGATAAATGTATTTACTCCTTTAGAAGTAAACTTTTTTTTTCTTCGAGGACAGCGGTTGCGGTCAGGTGTACCTGCTGATCATCTCCCTATCCTCCTCCCATTCCTTAAAGATTTAGGTTATGTTGTTATCCTGGCTTCAAGAAGCTGCCTGATATCCCAATGAATGTCTGTTATCCCTTCCAGTATAGAAATTTCAATTCTAGATTTTTTTTTCACTGTAAGTACTTTCAGTTACACGAATGAAACTGTCCCTATGCTAAGATTTGCTTAGTAAAGGCCAGCTTTTTATAGTTTATGTAAATTTAGATGCATCTTACTTCAGATTCTTTCCTTAGCCAGAGAGACATGGTTACGTATTACTAATGCTGTGATTTTCAAACGGCCTATCAATTACTAAGCCTATTGAATCTCCTGCTATTAACACTCCTAATATCTCTTCATCTACCTTCACACCTAGCTGTTTAGTTCTTAATACATTTAGGCAAATGAATTTTTCAATTTATAATTATACAGTTATATTTTGGATACGAAAAATTTAATTGTACTCTGTTTCATTTCATTTAACACCAAGCCTTTTGAGAAAAAATGATATTTTTGTTCTTGTATTATTACCAACAACATTGAATGTTAAACATTGGAAATAAAATAAAATTTCAAAACACTACATTTTAAGTATAAACAGCTTCTTTGATCTTTTAAATGACACTGTAATTAGTATATATTGTACAAAGATACTATGTTTAATACAATATTATGTAACTAATACAAAATTATTGTTTCAGTAACCGATTTAATTTTATGATACCTTTATTCCCAAGTGACTTGCACCCCATTTGTGTTCCTTAAACCCTATTCAACACTTATTAAATGAAGGTAGGACCAACTATGAACATTCATTTTCCTTTCCTCATGCACATAAAGCAGGATTATAAGAACTTCTTACTCTGTCAGTGGAAGTATTCCGTTTATGATTTCTTCTACAATCAAAAGTGAGCATTCTTTTGTTAAATAAGGTAAGTGCTAAGGAATTTAACACTTAGTTGTTTAACAAATTAAAGAGAAAATGATTGTTAAATAACTTTAAAATGCAAATTAGCAGAAACAAGGATTGGAATGAACACTGAATAACCAAATATTTGAAGGATTTTAAATTAGGTCGTTTTCATTTGATGCATTAGTATTCTCTACCTATACAACAGTTATATCTATAGAGAACTGCTCACCACTGCAGCTCATTTAATGATGATAAAATATTGGTATGTCAATTGTTAATGAATATGGACTGAAACTAAAAGAAGGAACACGGTCTTCTGCTGTGATGAGATGTGTTCGCCGTTGAATTAATGGGAAAACAAAGGCTCCTACAAGCAGAATATGACATGTCTCTGTAATAAAATATTCCTGTCGGAGGCGATATAGTTGTATTACTATCTATTGCGTTATAGTATAAGAGCGCGACAATCCACAGTGATACAAACAAAGGGTATCGTGTAGCTTTCTGTCTGTTGGTGCCTTTACTCGTCTTTTTTTTCCCTGCTTATCATGGTATAAAGATCTAACATCATTCTATCCGCGACACTTATTCCTTTCTGACCTTGAGTCGCATGTGATACGCGGATTTTTCTCACTTTAACCATAATCTCTTCATGTAGTTTGATCTGTCCGCGAAACTGTTTCTTCCCATTGCCCCAAACTTCGTATGGGATAAATTATGTTTATTTATGTACATTTCAGTAGTATTCCCAAAATGTATCATCCAGTGATTTATTTGTCTTCATTAGTTTAAATATATCTAAAATAAATTTCAATTAGTATTGTCCTCAGAGATATTTAATAGATCTAATGCTCAGGACTTGAAGTTGTGTTTGCTATAGTATGTTTCTTGTAAGCAAAGATGGGTCAGAAGTATTTAATGTATTACATCGTTGTTTGTTGCTGATCTCTTCATTTTTCTTGAATGATAAGAAATCTGCAAATCTTCGTGCAGAGCCATTGTCCTGTTCTCGTTGCAGCGGTTCCAAACGGCTCCAGGTGTGTCTTAGATTCCGTGGAACGGTTCTACCTACGTAAACACGGAGCGTCATGTATATGTAATTGCTTCAAAAATGGTTCAACGTACTCAAGGTTTCTTTAGCTAACGCCTTTTATAAAAATATATAATTTAAAAACCTGCTAACTGCGATGTGAAACCCTGTTAGTAACAGTGAAAATTATAGATATTCTGTCGTTACCGAAAAAACGAAATGAAATGCTCAATGAAAGGTAGTCATGTAAATATAAACGCATAAAGCGTTTTGCGCATAGACTACATAACTAAAAATGATTATTGGATTGCCTTCCGTTTAACCATATAATTTTCACCAGAGAATAAGTGTAATTCATGAGCCATTTTAAGAAAACACTGAGAAAAATTATACGAGTTTACAATCGACTTTAATATCATTTGGATTCCTGTTATAATCAATTATTTATAAAATTATGGATTTGAGAAGCTGTTTAATGAACTTTACGTCAGGTTCACAATTAATTGGTAATAGATCCCTACTAAGTTGACTCATTTTTCTTATCTGGGATTAACAATATTATTGGAAATAAAGAAAATCAGTTTCTTCTTTTCCGGTAACAGAATTAATTATCAATAAGCTTAAATTTTTTTTCTCACACTTTTTATTATTTATAAATTTCTAACTCATACCAGACTGAAATATAAGAAACCGCTCGACGTTTCCGATTACTTAAACACTTACTAGACAAACGCTCTAAACTTCCAATTAATTACCAAAGACTTATATACATGACTATAATAAGGCCTATTTGGACTTACGGAGCTGTGCTATGAATCTCCACTAAACCATCGAATTCCTCTCTTATCCAATCTTTACATTCCAAAATCCTCAATGTTCTCTAATTTGTTACAAATAAAACCATCCATAATGACCTTAATGTTTCTTATGTTTCAGGTCTGACCCAATCCAGATACCTATCCTTCCATAATAAACTACAGAATCATCCCAACCCTCTCGTTTCTAACCTTGCTTCCTCTTCAATTCCTGATAATCCTCCGAGGCGTCTGAAAAGAAGATAGCTCCGTGATCCCCTAATGTAGACATATCATTGGAGTGCTACCATTGGGTATTTTCTCAACAAATGTTTTCACATCATTATATCCATATGTTCAAATTTACTTAATGTATTTCTTTAATAGAGTTGTAAATATCATTAAGAGATAAATAAAAAAATTAACAAGTGGTTGGTACTTCCAGTCCTGCGCCTCCGTGAAAATGCCCGGGTTACCCTACCCTGAAGCCCGCCAATGCTTAAAAAAAAAAATGGAGGTAAGTGGGAATATAATAATGAACGACCTTCAAACCAATAGAAACTTCCTGGCAACCGCAAAATAAGCTTCCCTGGAAAAAAGCTACAATGACGTCGAATTTCAGATAGTTAGGGATAGTGAATGGGTTTCTTTAATTGGAAAATTTAACCAACGAAAAAAGAACTCCAATTTCATTGTAGTTGTCTATTTTCAAAGCAATGAATCTTCAAAATCGCAAGAAATTCTGAACCGAAATGAAATACACACCAGCAGATTTACCTAGAGCTTATCTTGATAAGTTCTATGTATATAATAATGAGGAATTCGTGAATCCATGTCCATATGAAGCTGAGTACGTTGATAACGAAACTTTCATTTACTATTCCAAAATGAGGTGTATTCACATCCGGGCCTCCCCTCCAAAAAATAAAAATAAAATAAAATAAAAAACCCTATACCACTACAACGCTCGAAGGGTCTTGGGTGCAGTACTATGTGAGGAAGTACTATTTCAAGGGCAACGGTTGTACAGGGAGGTGATGGGGCCGATATCAAGCTCAACCGCCAGTTTTTCCCCTTAATTATTTTTTAATTAAGGGTACCCACTTTATAGAGGTTGGGTGTGCCCCAGGAGGGGCTTCCGATCCCAGGATCGATGCACGGCTAATGAAAATTTACTATTCATTAGCCGGATTCGAACCCAGGACCTTGAGTTCTGGAAGTCTGAACTATCCCGCTCCCTTAAAGGGCCTCCCCTATAGTGGGAGACAAAAAAGTGAATAACTCCTGTGATCAAATAATACTTTCCAGTAATATGTTTTACAAATTTTCATTTGAAGCAGCCGTTCTCTACATTTTGGAAACAACTTTGTTTCAGTCAATATTTGATCATTATTAACAAAGTCATGAATGTTACTGCAATAAATTTGATTGTTTTCACCTGTCAACTATATGTATTCAACTAATACCTGTGTTTCAAAATAAGTATTAAGCTGTAACTTAAAAGTAAATGCCTGTAAGTTATTAAAATGAGATAAGATTTTTTAATCTAAATACTATCAAAAAAGGCACATACAGAATTTTATGTTTGTCTTAGGCCTGCAAAAAAATTGAACCAAAAATATAATGTTCATAGAACAAAAATTAAACAATTTTTTTTTTATCTCTTGGAAATGTTTAGTTTGGTTTTTACAAGATTTTGCACTTGCACTGCGTCGGCAATCATTTTCTTAAAATGTTTGTCCATACACTTGTTCCTGATTTTTTCTTAGTTTAATTCATCTTTGTTCTATACACTTTTGAACAACTCGTTGATGAGTAATTCATCTTTCAACTGTCTTGTCAAATAAGTTTAGCCGTGTTTTATTCTGTTTTTTAATGATTATCAGTAGTTATTCGATGACATTTCAATTCATATCTTTTTTCGATAATTTTATTTGTTTCGGATGGCAATTTAATTTCAGTTAACGAATACACTTCTCTGTTTCGCCAAAAAGTGACAGTTTTCACCAACTTTAGAACCATTCTAAATTTTAAAACATTTCTTCTGTTATGGATATTATAATTTAAACTATTTTCTTGTAATAACATGAAGGTGTTTACTTTTACATTATGATTTTGTCTTCCTTTTATAACTTTGCCAGTTTTATTCATTTATGTATATCTTAGGTAAAATGTTTGGAATTATGAATTGTCTACTATTGTTGGCTTTACTGGCTTTTCTGTACAAAGTGGATGCTGTTACATCTCCTTATGGATGGAAACATAAAATTTCTCTTAATGGCTTATGGAAATTCAAATTATCTCCTCAAGAAGATCCTGACATAGGTTTCAAAGAAAAATGGTATTCTGCTCCTTTAGTGGTAATTCTATTCTGTTAAATATTTGTATTTATTCAAAAGAAATTTTAGTATTTAGATTCACAAGGATTCTGTTTTTTCCCTTAGAATGTGAACTTATATACCCATTATTTATTTTAAAAATATATGAATTAAGTAGTAACAACTAGACACCTTCCCAAAAGCAAGCTAATCATTTCATTATTTAATTTACCCAAAGTAATTTTATGAATTAAAATCTCACGAACACCCCTCTAGGACTTCGAGTACTTATAGGACCGAGAAAGAACAATTAAAAACATATGCTATGGTTAAAAGTTAAAAAAAGTAAGTTGAGTGGTTTTTGGTCTCCTGAATAGTAGTAATTTTTACTTTTATTTGTTTAATGTGGTGACCATATTTGTCTAATTTTATCTGGTTGATTTTTCATAGTACAATTTGATGTCTTTATCTGTAATTGTGTTAAAAAATTGTTTATCTTTTTCAATATTTTTGTAATTTAAAAAAATAATAGTTTTTAAATGATTTCACTTGCTTTTTTAAAATGATTATTTTTTTTGTTGTTTCTTATATCGGTTTTTCTTGATAGATTTGGTGTAAATATTTTCTGATAATTGTATGAAATTCAATTTTAACATACAGAAAACTATAAACTGCATATATTATTGATTTTTTGCTTTGATTTCTTTGCTGTTTTTAAATTTCGCTTCAAGTGCCCTGTCATTCTTAGATATAATTTTTGTAGGTCTGGTAATTTCATACTCATTGGAATGTTGTACTATTCGACTTCTCAGTATTTCTGATCCATTAGGCTCAGTATTGTTATCATTAATCTTATATAGAATCTAAAAATTATAGTGGTCTGTCATACTATGAATTTTGTTGCATACCAAAGAACAAGAAGTTTTCTTCAATGCTCCCGTTTCACTCAGTAAAGCAGATTCTGGGCTGGTTCAAGGTGCTTAATTGTTAGTCTCAAAGCTATGTTCTGCACAGAACCTAATTTATTTCAGAGACTTTTGCTAACTGAAGAATATAGGATGCAGCCACAGTCAAGCTTTGATCTCACTAGTCTTGAATGTAGCGAGTATTACTTTTCAGTATGCTCCCCAGCTTTGATAGGAAATAATTTTCAAAAGGTTCAGTTTTTTACTGCAATCTAGTTTTAACTACATTCTTGATTTTTTTAAGTTAGTATACGATCCAGTAAAAGATCGACAACTAGGATTTCTTTGTAGAATTCAATTTTAGAACTATTTACTAATATGTTATTTACCTTTTTCAATTTTTTTTTCTTGAGATAATGATAGCTTGTGAGTTTTCAGCAGAAAATCTGAAGCCAGTTTGTCGACCCCATTCTTCTATTTGAGACAGAATTTTTATATATAGTGTCTTCAAGGAATATATAAGCCCTTATACTTTAAAGATTTATTCCATTTCAAACGACGTTTCGAGCTGATTTGATCATTCTCAAGTCATGAAAAATTTTTATCTACGAAAATATATTTCTATATTATAATTTCATTAAACATTCATTCTCGGTACGCCAAATACAAAAAATAACACCATCCCTCGACTCATTTTTTGCGCATTCACTCTAATGCTTGTCCATTCCCAAAACTCGGTACTACATCCTCCCTCTATTACTTATAAAGAAGTATTTTTATTTTTGCCTATGTTGGGGCCCAAAGTTCAGTCCTTCATCATGGCTGATCGAACGAAAGGATTCCGCATTTTTTAGGAGGATTCCGCATTAACATTGACTATGGTAGATATACTGAATAGTATATTGACTTAGTCAATGTTAAACAATAGAGAGTGGATGTAGTACCAAGTTTCTGGTATGGACAAGCATTAGAGTAAATGAAAAAAAAATGAGACGAGTAGTGTTATTTTTTATATTTGGTGTACCGACAATGAATGTTTAATGAAATTATTGTATAGAAATATATTTTCGTAGATAAAAATTTTTGATGACTTGAGAATGAGCAAGTCAGCTCGAAACGTTGTTTGAAGTGGAATGAATCTTTAAATTATAAGGGCTTATAAGGGACCTTGAAGACACCATGTATAAGAACATTGAGTGCCCTTAAAAAATACTACCGGAGTTGCGAAATATATTCAGATTTTTTATTTTTGTTTTTTTATTTTTTATTTTTATTTTTTGATTTTTTAATTTAGTTTTTTATAAATTTTGTAGTTTAAAATTTTTATGTCGGTTATGATTCTTATTTTGGTATCTTTTAAATGTTTTTTGTTGAGCTCATGAATGTTATAATTATTAATGATATATATATTTTTTTTTTTTTCCTGAAGGGTGATGTATTACTTATGCCAGTCCCATCTAGCTACAATGATATTACTTCTAACAGGACTATAAGAGACTACTTAGGCTGGGCCTGGTATCAAACAGAAAGCGATGTAAATGTTGAAGATTGGAAAAACTCTAGAGTCGTTCTTCATTTTGGAGGAGTTCATTATTATACAAAAGTGGTAATGCTCAAATTCGACATGAGATAGCAAATAAGATATACTAAGCTTTAAGTTAATACAAATTTTCATATTACAGTGGTTCGGTGACAAATTTTTGGGGTCTCATGAAGGAGGTCATATTCCTTTTGAATTTGAGCTTCCAAGTTACAAAGGGTTATTAACGGTAGCCGTGAACAATACTCTAAACAATCAAACCATACCACAAGGCTTTCTCTCATATCCTTCTGCAAATATGTAGGTACGGCTAATTTGACCTTAACTATTGTTGCCTTCTGTTTGTGGTGATGTGAATCTTTCTTACATGCATCTTAATGTCATTTGTTTGTGCAATTATCCATTGTATGCATGCTTCTAAAGAAATTAGGGTTCAATTGATTATATGATCCACCATAAATTGTATAATTTTTGAGTTATGCACAAATCGAGTTTTCTTTTCATCATAACTTTTTTTTTTTTTTTCTGGGAGATATAATTATTTTTCTTTATTAGTGGAGAAGATAATCTTAAAAACGATGGCTCAGTCATTGTTTTTGATGAGTAAGGCAGGAGTTCCAACAAAAACACCTTTGAGAAATAATAATGTATAAAGATTTTTGATAAAAAAATTAAAAATTAATAATGAAATATTTTTAGATTATGGTAAGCATATATATAAATTTTCTTTGAAAATGACCAAAACATACGTAATGTTATAATTTAATTTAATTTAAAAGTTTGTCCAAAATTTTATTATTTTGTGTAGGATAAACTGCAGTCCTTTTTTTTACCAATGATTAGTTAATTATTACTCTTTTTATCTTAAAAAATATGATTAAGAAAAAGAGGCAAAGCAAAAAAAAATGAGAAATAATATTGACATAATTATATCATTTATGTTTTATCTGTTTTAATATGTTTATATTTAATAAATATATATTATAAATATGTATTTATATCAGATTATATAAATAACTCCTTAGCGCAACATTGAATATCTTAAACATACTGATTTGTTCGATCTGATAAGTCCTTTAACTTTTACCTCAAACACTTTTTCATTTATAATATAATTGCCTTTTATTTATAACTTATTTTTATTCAAAAATGTGTCTTTTATTATTAGAACTCTTGTCTTGATTAGACTGTTATCATAGTACCTTTCAATAAAAATCTTTGTTCACTGTTACTCATTATTTTATTGTACTAATATGTTTATGTGTTTGTTTGTGCATGGGAACTAATTACTTTTCATGTTATGTGTGCCTAAACTGACTTCCTATTAGTCCTTGGTCCGTTTATACTCACTTTTATGTTATGTACATTTGTTCTTATTGACTTATATATTTTTTTACTTTATAAATGTATTAAAATAATAATTACCCTTAATTTTTTTAATTTATTATTTTTGTTTTATTAGCGTTAATAGGTAATTTTTCTTCAGGTCTGGTGGTTATCGAACTTACACCCATGATTTTGACTATTTCGATTATTCAGGCATAAATCGAAATGTGTTTCTTTATAGAACACCTAAGGATATTTATTTGAAAGATGTTATAATCAAAGCAACTTATGAAGGCAATATAGGTAAAGTTAGATTTTTATCTCTTCGTTCCATAATAAGAGATACAAATCAAAAATGTTTAGATATTTAAATTAAGATTATTTAAAGTTGCAGCTCACAATATTAATTAATGTAAAATGCCTCTACCTAATAAATTGTGTTGTTTGTAGGTGTAAGTATATTCAGATGAGACAACATTTTTTAAAATCTCCTTTCACCAGAATCAGCTCTCTACCCTTTTAAAACATGTAGAAAATATTAATTTATATGTGTGCCCACTTCAGGTATATTCTAAAGCATACCTCGTGGTCTTATAGGAAAATATTTTTCTAAAAATATCATTGAAAGTCTTAGATAAATTGTTCTCAAATTTTGTAATTTTGGAACAATAACCCATATTGTTGACTCCTGATGAAGCATAAAGCATCTACAAGTGAGTTCCATTCCGCTCTTATTGCAGCACTCATTTTTGCTACTGGCTAAGTCTTGCTAGCCCCGGCCCAAGTAATTTTGAACAGATCTGCACCGTGTCTCTCAAGGTCTTCCACTTCTTCTTGCTCCTTGTGAATTTCATTGCAAAGCTTTTTTTTCTATGGTAGTATCTGTTTTACTTAAAGTATGTCCTACCTATTTCCATTTCTTTTTCCTTATTTCGAGATGAATAGGAAGCTGCTCTGTGGTAATCCAGAGCTTTTCGTTACAGATCTTCTCTGGCCACCAGATCCCTGAGCAGCGGTTGATGAAGGTCTAAAGGAATCGGGTACTGCTGTCAGCATCTATGTTTCACTGCCGTATAGCAGGAATGATTACAAGTTGGAACTGGAAGACATTGTAACAATTTCTTGTTCTTCCATATTGAACAATTGCCCTAAGATGTTTTGATTCGACTTTTAGCATCTTCCAATGAGCCCCTTCTTTGGTGATCACGCTTCCGAAGTAGATAAATGATTCTACCCTTTGAAGGTGTTTTCCCTCAGAACAAATGGATTCCAACTTCACTAATTTACTCAAATTTCTTTTGTTTTATTTATTAACGTTGACCCGCAGTCCAACTCGACAATGATCCATACACATGCAATAACTTTTGTTTTTTTAATGTAATTTTTCTTATGAAATCCATTCTCATTTTTGTTTTGCTACTATTTATTTCCCTTTCATAAGTTTATTATTTGTCGTGATGTATATTAATTATATCCTATTGCTTTCAGGTTATGTGAAGTTCTCGGTGTTATCCAACAGTGCCGATATAAACTCCCCATGTTTGGTTACCTTATACGATTCCCATCATCAATACAATATCAGTCAATGTTATGGGGTTTTCAAGATAACAAACCCAATTCTTTGGTGGGATAGAACTTCTAAGCATAAACCCACAGCTTACTTGTACACTCTAAGGGTAAGAATTTCTCATTGAATCGATTCCATTATTTAAGGTAGCATTTTGTTATGTAGCAATATTTTGTTGTAGAAATTATTTGTATCACTAATATTTATATAAATGTTAAATTATATTCTTAACATGAAATTTTAACAAATAGAAAATAAAGGAGCTTTGAAAACAGATGATAATAATAAAATTAATAATTATTTTGAGTGTTTTGCTGTGATGTTCCCTCTAAATTGTGTGAGATTTGAAATTGGTGCCCCGAGATACTACCATGTCTCTTACCACTATACTGAGTTAGAGTGGCTCTTCCCCTCCATTCGAAGACAATATTTCCTAGGTGCATTCCTCTATCATATCATCAACAATGATCGTCCTTCTTAGGCCTACAACCTTCTCCAATTCAAGTCCTCAGTCCACTCCCTCTCCACAAGATCTTCCGACCTTTACATTCCTTCTCACAGATCTGCCTCATTCCAAAACTCCTTTATTGCTCGCTCTGTTAATTTTTGGAATTCCCTTCCTATCAAAATTCGACATTCTTCATCCCTATCTACATTCAAAACCCTCCTATTCCAATTCCTGTCCCAAAAACAGTCAGATACCAGCTAACCTTATATGTAAAATTACATCTTATTTATAATAATATATTCACATATAGCTCATAACTTAAATACTTATAGATTCGACTTTCTTTTTTTTTTTTTCAACAGAAACACAGATTTTACTGTTAAGAAAAATTTACATTTATTTTTTTCTGTATTTTTTATTTTTTCTAAAAGTGTTTATTTATATTTTACCATTGTACATAGTTTTAAGTATCTTGGTATTGTTTCAAGAGTTTTGTATATAGATTTTTTTATTTTGTTTTGTATATAGTATGTATAACTAATATTTTTTTTTACTGATTTATCTTTATCTTTACTTTTTATGTTTGTTTTTATTTGGCCAGATATAACATTTTAATTTTTGTACTTTTTTGTTATTTTGGTCTTTGTCCCGGAATAAAATTATTTTCTATTCTATTCTGAATGCCTTGATCCCTAAGATGACTTTGAACACCATTGAGGACTTGGTCCTTTCTTCTCATAGTTCTGAACAGATTGTGGCTGCAGTGCTGCTTGGGATTGTGAACATTGCCAACCTGCTCTCATATATTTGATTTTTGACTCATTTATTGTTAGGCCCACTCTTTGTGCCACTTCCTATATAGCAGGAAATGTGTCCTTCGAAGCCATGGATTTGTCAAATAAGGTGCCTCCAATCTGTACACCTGAACTTCTAATAGCACATTCCAGTGCCATATTAAATAATAAACGGGCAAGGCTTCTCAGGATCTGCCTCTCAAATCTTAGGAGCATTTGTTCTTGAGTTGAGACGTACTTGGACAGAACACTCCACCTTCTTAATGTTCATCTTTATCAAACGAACCAAATTTAAGAAAGATCCCAATTCTAGCAGAATTTGGTATATCTCTTCCCTTATAATACTACCTTAGGCATTCCGAAAACCAATAAAGAGGTGGTGCAAATTGTACTCTGGCTTTTTCTAGGATTGATCTTATTGAGAAGATCTTCATCCACAGTCCCTCGACCTCCCAAAGTCATGTGATTGGACACGCTAAATATTTTATTAATTTTTATTGTTAATTATTGTATGAAACATTTTTATTTTAAATTATTTAATAGTAAAAAAAAAGTAAATAAATTACATAAAAATCTGTCTATTTATTTAAAAATTGGTTAACAGGTAGAACTAAATCCAGGAAGTTATCCCAGTGATGAAAACATCTATGAAATGAAGGTTGGCATTAGAGAAATCGATTGGAACAGTACTGGACTTTGGCTCAATGGAGAGAAGTTGTATTTGAGAGGTTTCGGGAAACATGAGGATTCTGAAGTAATTCTTATTATATTTTATGTTATTATATTTATTTATCTATACAGGTATTCCAAAATAGTATGTCCTTTCTCTTTCATATGTTCTGACTTCTGTGTGTGTGTGTGTGTGTTATTAATAGTTAAACGGGATTCTATTATCCTTCTTTTTAGATCTCACATCATATTCTTCATTATAGTTTTGGATAACCATTCTCCAGTTTGGTTATTTTTTCTTTTTTCTCTATTATAAGAAAGCACCATTTATCTTTCCATTATATTTTTACCAACTATGAAAATGGTTTGTGGGCGGGGTGGCCGAATGGGCTAAAGCGTGTGCACAGCACCGGGCGTTGCCCGGCAACCAGATATATGAAGTTTTGAGAGACAAGAAAAGTATGAGTTCGCATCCCGGTGCCCAGAGGGGATTTTAAATTCCCCACCCTCACCCTCCGGCCTGGGAAAATCCTGTATAGCCTAAACGGCGAGGTAGGGAAGAACAAAAAAAAAAACTATGAAAATCGAAATAATTTATTTTTATCTCTTTATCATCTATAATTAACTAATTTTAATTTATAATAAGTACATTGTGATCTCAGCAATATGAACGACTTGCTGAAGGAGGGTTCTAGGATTACTTGAAATAACTTTATTACTTATTAATTACTCCTTATCACATGGGAAAATCACATTAAAAAAGAAATTAAATCAAGAAACTCATAAAACTTTTTTTAGTGGATACATATTTGTATATTTACAGGAAAACATTGAGTTTATATTCATAAAAATCTTTTCTTTTTTTTTTTTAAATACTCTTATTTTTATTTGAATTCTTTCTTTTCTGCTTCTCTTAGACATTGTAGAAGAAAGGTTTGTTGCCACAGCATATCATTCCATGTTTTCTATCCATTATAGCAATTGAAATGAGATAGTACATTTCTATGCTTAAGTATCATTTTGTTTTTATAATAGAATATGAGTAAATTTCATAAAATAACCTCGGTTAGGGTCTGTGAGTTAAGAAAATTCTTCTAGGCATTCAGCTATCTTTTGTTAGAAATTAGTTTCTTGCTCTAATTTCCTTTTTTTCCTTCTCTGAATGAAACTTTTTATGCACAATTACTTTCCTCTTTTTTATTATTATAACTTTTTTTTGGGACTTTAGAACACTGGATTGTTCAAACAACTAAAGATTGAACTGCATTTCAATTTCTTCTCTATGAGTGCCATGTGAAACTAATTTTTTTTTACCTGTTTCTCAACGTCAGATGCGTGGTCGAGGATTTGATTGGGCTACGACCATCAGAGACATGGACCTTTTGCAGTGGACAGGAGCGAACGTGATGCGCACTACTCATTACCCCCACTCCCTGGAATGGATCGACATGGCAGACAGGGTAGGAATACTCATCATTCTCGAGAGCCCTGCTTGTAGCCTCAGGTAATTATTATTTCATTTAATTTTTATAATAAAATATATACTTTTTATTTAAATTATATCAAGTATTTGTTTAAAATTCTCAAAACAATATTAATTTCATTTATGCTTTAGAAATTTTTATATCAAGGATCGCCTATAACACTGGATTCTAGTGTATTGCCTCTAAACTGTGCCTTCAAAGATATTTCTTAAAGTTTGATGCCTTCATTGGTTAAACATTTTATGATTATGCATTGTGCATAAGATAAAAAAATATCTTGTAAAAAAAAAAATATTGATCATTAAATGTACAAAAAATAATTATCGTTTATATTTGATTCACCTTCATATAATTAAATCTAAAAATATGACTGTAATATTTTCAATTGAGAAATGTAAGTTATTTTCATTAGCCTTGAAAAAGCAATTCATTTTTTTAGCTACTTATATTAATGTTTTTGGTAGAAATTCATAGTTAGATACATATACATGTAGATGAGACACTTATGAATTTTGATGATGTTCATTTTAATAGATAGGAAAATTTTATTTTGATACACTTGTTTATAATTATGAATTAAACTATTACAACTAAACTTACAGTTGCATCCAACCAGCAAGCTATCTGATCTTACTTGTATTAATAAATTATGAAATTGATTTTTAAATTTTTTTATGTAATTAAAATATAAAAATATGCTTTAATACAAAACCATATTTGAACTTATGACCACAGTAGAATATTTAATGTATTTATATTTTAATTTAACTATCATAACATATTTTTAAATTTATTAAAATATTATTCAGCAATTTTGAAGACAACATGCTGACCCTCCATAAGAAAATCATGGAGGATATTTATTCGACTTATGGCAGCCACCCAAGTATCATCATGTGGTCATTGGCTAACGAACCTGTCTCCGACCATCCGCGTGCGAGAGGATATTTCTTGTAAGGAAATATATATATATTTCTTGAGTAGATTTGTTTTAAAATAATTTATTAAATTCGGATTAACTATATTTTAGATTGAAATAGGATTTTTTTTTTTTTCATAAAACAAAAATCATTAAAAAGCTACAGACATTTTTTTTTAAATTTAAAATGGTTTCTAGAAATGTTCATGATAATATTTATCTTAATGATGAAAGCATACTTATGTGATAATGTTAACATATAATATGTGATAATGCTAACACAATTTTCCTTGTAGCTTAGGATGTAAAGTATTAAAAAAAAAATGTATTGCTATATTTTCACTAATGTTGTTATCCACAATTTATTATCTTTTATTTTATGTATATCCCATAATTAAAGTATCTTTAAAATGAGCATCTGGAATGTTCCAAAAGATGTTCAGTTGTTGGATTATTCACCAACTAATAATACAAGTCCATTACATTTTATCTTTGCTAGTATGAGTTTAATTATGATTTTTTTTTAGTGGATTTGAGGGTAAAGAGCGATGAGGTTCTTTAGTCTGTAAAACAAAAACCAACCAAATTACTTCTCAGATGATCTATGTGTAATCCATCAAAAAAGGTTGGATTGCACAAACTACTTTTTGAGTTACACGGTAATAAAATAAAAACTTCCTTGAAACTCAATATCGTCCATATCTCCTAATGGTCAATAAGAACATTTATCATTTATCATCATTAACATTAGTCATCTTCATCCATAACCAACACACAAGCTCCTTGTTTCCTCACTTATTCCCACCCAAACTGTGTGAGTGTGCTGTATGATGGCCTCATGATTATACTGAATTGATATAAGATTAAAGCTGCACTCTAAGATTAGTGTCCTGTGTCTTGAGAAGGCCTCATGTGTTCCACTGTTGTTACAAGTTAAATTGCCTCTTCTTCCCATTTTGTCGACAAAATTTCCTCAGATGTTTCCTATACCAAACCATCCATTCTCAGTATATTTTCTTGTGTTTGTAATCAACTGTGATTGATCTGTTTTAGAGACCTGTTGACACTGATGCATTCCATTGACACCACTCGTCCTGTCACCTTTGTTAGTAGTCGTAGTGTCGGTAACGATAAGGCGGTAGGTAAAATCTCATGTCATCATTCTTTATTTCAATGAAAATGTCAAATATTAAGGGTGTGAATGAGTATACAGGGTGTCTCACTTCTTAATGGCCAAACTCTAGTGAGTGATTCACGACAAAATTTCCAACAAAAAAGTTTATTTTATGCATGGGCCCATTCCGAACAGAAATGGAGTCAAGACCAATTTTGTGTTGCTTTTTTTAAAGATTTTTATTGAATAAGACGGAATTGCTCAAAAACTGTTCAAGATAATTAAATTCTTAGAACACCATCAGAATGTAGACCTAATTTTGTTTGAAAAACCAGTGATTAAATTTTCTGAGATAACTGATAAAAGGGACTTTTCTCATACTGCCTATGTATTGCTGTAATTACAGAACCCATACCGGAGCAATATATCTCTGTAATTCCGATTCATGAAATAATTCAGTATAATGGTAGGCTTAGCATTATTACATCTTTTGAAAGTCCCTTTTATCCTTGATCTGTTGACAAACTTTTTTGTCAAGAATCACTGTTCAGAGTTTGGGCATTAAGAACTAAGGCACTGTATATATTCTTATTTATAATTCATTTATGTTTATTAAGTACTTTTTTATCGTGTATTTCCTTTAAAGCCCAACTGGTTTCACTACCTGTTTTATGAAATATTTGACAATGGAATATGATAAATAATTATATTATAATTATTTATCACCCTCATGATGTCAAATTCGTTTTTTTTTTTATTAGATAATTATAGTATATATATGTTTCATGGTTTAAAAAAGTTATATCTTCAAAATCCACTTGGATATAATACTTTTAAGCCTAGTACACACTAGTAGACCATGTTGCGCGATTTGTCTCTTGACCATCTAGTGACACCATTGTCTCGTCTAGCATCCACACTACAATGCGAATTACTTAGCGATCCACCATAGAGGAATAGTTTTGTGTGGAACGAGTTCCTGTTTAGTGATAATTACTAGTGAAATGTCCCTCTCGTCGGAGTATTTATTTTTCTCTCTCAGTTAAATGAACTTTTTAAATTATGAATTTTCTTTTCAATTTATGCCGCTGAAGCATTGTGCTTTGCAGCCAGAGATTCCAGGGCCACTTTTCATTTTAACCACTTTTTTTAGTCGGGCCTCATAGTGACATCTCACAAACAATAAGATTCATGGTAATGTTCTTTTAGTTTTACAACTTTTTCGTTAGACCACATGTTAAAACTTTGCAAAATAACTATAAACACCACTCGGTAGCTGAAGACAGACTGGGGTGTGTTAGAGATGGAAATTGATATTCAATAATATCGAAATGTCGATATTTTTCTTCCGATATTAGATATTTTTCCATTGTGTCTTCGATAGTATCGACTATCGATATTGTCCCTACGATATTTTAATATTTAAATTTAAAAATAATAATTAAAACTATCGTTTTTGGAAAGCTCTAGGGATTCCATATGAATCTTAAAGAAAATTTATTCTCATCTTGCCTGTTCTCATGTATGGGTGAATGGAAGGTATAATTGGATGAATGGAAATTTATGGGAAAAAAGATGAGGATGACAAAGATGGACAGGAACCAGAAAATTAATTTTACTAAGGAGGTTATAAGAATTGACATATCTATTAATTAATTTAAAGAGAAAAATAAAATATTTTTTGATAAGCCTATTTTCGGGGAAGGCCAAAGGGGCTAACTTGTGAGTAGAGACAACCTATTTGCGAGAGAATCGATATTTATATTAATATTCATATTTCAAAATTACTGGTTATTCAAACATTTTTATAATATCGATGAAAATATTGACTTGTGATAGTATCGACATTTTAAGTCCAATATTTTAATGGTATTGATAGTTATAGCCTGATATTTCTATTTATGACAATATATCCCTGCTTATATAGCTTTCGATATACCACTCCTACAATGCATCTCACCTCTAGATGCCGAGGGACGTCCACATTGACTAAATGTTGAGCAACATGTCCAATATTGCATAATGTTTCCCATTCCAATCGAGAGACTTTAGACCCCTGCAACAGACCTCTCATGATGGGGATTTGTCTATAGACATATCTACGTACACAAACTGAGAGATGTCTCAAAGACCGAAATCATGCAACAACATGTCTACTAGTGTGAACTAGGCTTAAAATATTAAATTATTTCCAAAATAACCCTTAATGTAATTAAGAAGTAGTGAATTCAATATTACATATATTGTAGGCTGGTGAGATGGATGTCATCTGCTTCAATCGTTACAACGGCTGGTATGCCCACCCTGGTGATTTGTCTATTATTGAAGATTCGGTTGTTGATGAGATAACAGCATGGAGGAAAGCCTACAATCGCCCTGTTATTATTACAGAATATGGAGCAGGATCCCTGCCTGGTGTTCATATGGTATTATCATTTTACTGGTTTAATTTGCGTTAAAAGTTTTATTTGCGTTATATTTGGATTTTTTGTACCTCTTTCTTAAGGATGATAAGCACAGGACTAAGTGCATCTGAACAACTATTTTTTATTTTTATTAGGATATAATACATTTTACCACACTTAAGGGTACTGAGTATTAGAGCTGTAAGGCAATTCATACCATATTAACAATATAATAAAATTAAATAAAGAAAATTAAATATATAAACATATATATTTAAAAGGTAATTTTATACAAAAAGGGTAAAAACTGTAATAAAAACTAAGAAATATAACTTGAAGTGAATAACAACATATTAACATCCTAAATTATATGGAAAACCTAAAGGACGAACTACTTAAAAACAAAAGTTTCTTCAGTTTTATACAAAACAAAATTTTTTACAATAAAGATATAATTTAAGCTATTAAAAGAAAACTTAAGTACTTTGTCAACAATATTTTTATTTTTTCTTCCTGCTGTACAAATTTTATTAGAATTTTTGTTTGTCTGTGCCTGCTGGGTTACCAAATCTACGATTTTTCTACATAAAATTATAAAACTCCAGTTCATTGTGGGAATCTCACAACTTTCACTTATCACCCTAGTTTCAGTAGAAATATTTTCATATATATGGAACTGTAAGTAAAAATTATAGACGGTATAACATTTTTATTTAAAACAATTAATTATCATTCAGGTGCCTTCCTGGACGTAGCGCAATCTTTCGACCGGGTGTGGCATGATGGCTTGCTTTTCAAGCTCAAAACTCACCTACTCCAATCCTTGTACCTAGTCCTCAAATCCTACTTCTCAAATCGTTCCTTTCAAGTCCGCTGCGGCACTGAATTCTCCAACTATTATCCGATTGAGGCTGGTGTTCCACAAGGCAGTGTCTTGGGCCCAGTCCTCTTCATCCTCTTCACCGCTGACATTCCAACCAATCCCGATACCCTTCTAGCAACTTTCGCGGACGATACCGCCATCCTGTCATCCCACCTAGATCCTGAAACTGCATCCTTAAATCTACAAAGACACATCTCCCTAATTGAGCAATGGTGCAACAATTGGCGCATTAAGATCAATGAATCCAAATGCAGGCATGTCACCTTTACCCTCCGACGCAGATCCTGTCCACATATCCTTTTCAACTCTGTACCTCTCCCCGTCTCAGACACAGTTCGGTATCTTGGATTCCTTTTAGACAAAAGACTAACTTGGAACCCACATACTAGACTTAAAAGACAAGAACTTAACCGACGATTTGGCCAGCTATACAGACTACTTAACAGAAAATCCAATCTATCAATAGAAAACAAACTATTAATATACAAGACCATACTCAAACCCATCTGGACCTACGGACTTGAACTGTGGGGGACAACTAAATTTTTGAACATCAAACGCATCCAATCCTTTCAGTCTAAAGTCCTCCGTATGATAGTCAATGCTCCTTATTACGTTACAAACAAAACCCTACATCATGACCTTTACATCCCTTATATCCTTGACGTTATTCTATCCCGATTCTCAAATTTTCACATGAACCTAATCCACCATCCTAACCCTTTAGCACAATCCTTATCTAGCTCCAGTCATCCCTACAACCCTCCTCGAAGATTGAAACGGCAGTGGCCTCGAGATCTCTTGTAAAGACGTCACTGGAGTTCTGGCAATGGCCAGCTTCTCCACTCAAGTCATGAGTGTTTGTGGTTTTAGTGCCCTCTCTCAGTCTCCACCGGACTGGTAATGCCGGCGATGCGGTTGAGAGAGAAGCGCTGGGATCTCTTAGAGTCTCGCTTCGTCCTTCACACGTGGGGGAAAGGGCTGGACTCAGAGATCTCTTACCTAATTGTAAATATTGTATTTAAGTATGAATGTTTTTCTATTTATTTCTATTACTTATAATTTATTTAATTTTGCTACAAATTTCTGTATTTCATTTAATTTTAACTCTTAGTTACATTTCCTAGTTTATTATAGTTTTTGCCTTTGTTATATAGATTTTTATATTTTTTTATATTTTTTATTTATTTACTTATTTATTATTATTATTATTTATTTTTTTTTTTTTTATGTATTGTATATATGGTATGAATGTGCCTCTCTCAGCCTTAATACTCAGTGCCCTTAAGTGTGGCAAAATGTATTATTACTCAATAAACAGATAGATAAAAAAAAAAAAAAAAAAAAAAATAAAAAAAAAAAAAATTATCATTCAAATACAACATATTACAACATAAAAAATATTAAAGGAAATGTAGATTAATAGAAATATGTTAATATTAAAAAATGTGAATTTCTAATGTTAATTAATGTTAAAAATGCTAATTTCTTATTGACCCCAAGTGATATTAAAGATCACTTGATTTTACATTGATATAATGTGTTTGGTGAAAAGTTATTAGAGTTATTTTCAGGAAAACTGTAAAATTACATATGATTAAAGCCTTCCACATCTCTCTCATTTGTTAATTTGTTGTTTTTTCTCAAATAATTAATTTCGAAGTTCTTTTCCTTTTTTATTTCTTTATTAATATTATCTATTTTTTTCCTCAGGAAAATTTCTTTATTATTTATATGTATACATATGATTATAATTTTTGTATTGTATATATATCATTATAATTTTGTATAGTTTAGGTTAATTGTACGTTGAAATCTCTCGATTCATAATTAAATTAATGTATTGTTTAGTTTTCCTATTAGAGTTGTTTTCAGGAAAACTGTAAAAATATGTAAATTTGGTGATATAAAGTGCCACTTCCGGTTAGTCGATTTTGTCCAAACGTTTCCTGTAACATGCCAGGCATATACATAGCTTAAATACATACTTTCAGTTTCGTACTTTTCGTTTTTGAGCCTGCCTATTCATTGGCTATTCACACAAAGATTTACCGACAAGCAGACCAGTTTGCATTCAAAACTTAGATTTTTCACAATCATAATACTTTCCCTTTTTATAAATTACAATTATAGGTAAGTAAAAGTAAAAGTACCAATACCTTTTTACAATATTTCTCCAATTCTTCTTCGGTGTATACTATTTATTTTCAAGTTTATTTATTATCAGCCATTTTACACCAATTTTCAAAATTATGTTAACTTAATAACTATCCATCTAATTACGACGTTTCTGCTCGTTGAGCCATTTTCAAGTCTAAAAAAAATTATGCGAGTTCAATTGAAAAAATAAAAATATGAAATGAGTTTTACTTAAAATAGGTCCACATATAATATTGGGAAACATCATTGTATATGTTCAAAATAAATAGTCTTCCCCTACTCCTTTAAGAATAACCAGTCACTGAACAGAAATGAGACTGATGACATGTCTGTGACACATGATAAGGTAATTTTAACTTATTTGAATCATTATAATAAGAAATAATTGAATAATAATAATGTTATAAATTAATTAAAGGTGGACTTGACAAGAATAAAAAAATTTATAATGAGTAGACGCATGCAATTCGCATAAGTGAAAAGGACAGGTACATGATTGGTATTTAGGTATATAAAAAGAATCTCTATATGTTGAAGTATGTAATGTTTTAAATATGTTTGTAAATTGTAAAAAAATTTTTAGACTTGAAAATGGCTCAACGAGCCGAAACGTCGTAATTAGATGTGTAGTCATTAAGTTGACAAAATTTTAAAAATTGGTGTAAAATAGCTGATAATAAATAAACTTGAAAATACCTTTTTAGTTTTGTAAATTTTATATCGAGTATGATGAACAACTGTAGTCCAATGATTAATTTTTTGTTCTGATATTTTTTTTATATTGTACTGATGTGGGCTGATACTTTTTCCCACTGTAGATTCCAAGTGGTATGTGGAGTGAGGAATACCAGATAGACCTTTTGAAATCCCACTTCAGTGCGTTTGATAAAATGCAAGCTAATGGCAATCTCAATGGCGAGCTTTTGTGGGTATTTGCTGATTTTGCTACTCCCCAAGGTACCGTATGAAAATTCATTCATCTTCTGTACATCATTCTTTTATAGATAGAAAATTTATCTCAATCTTCTTTGTAACAGAGTACATCAGGCCAGGAGGATGCATGAAAGGAATATTCACAAGAAGCAGGCAGCCGAAGAAAGCAGCTTATACGATCAAACTAAGATACGAAACAATGGATAATAAAACAATGACTTGGGAATAGTTATTGTATGTTATCCTAAATAAAGTGAATGTAGTTATTGCAGTGTTTTAATATAGATTTATTTCAAAACTTTAATATTATAATGTCTAGTGTATGAATATTTAAAATATTCATAAGTTTCTTGTATTTTTGTTAATAGTATGGAGTTACTAAATATAGTTTCTTGTATTTTTGTTAATAGTATGGAGTTACTAAATATATATTTTTTAGATGATGTATTTTATTACTCAAGATCAACATCTTTCAATAACAGTTACTTACAGGACCTTAATATTAATGATTGCAAAATTAAAAAAACTACTGTGTTTGCTTAAGACAGAAGTGAAAATATCAACAAAGCGGGATTAATATGAAATATAAATATATTTTTATTCTATATTAACAACATGATTTCCATTTTATTGCACATTTTATTCGCTTGTGTATAAAAACCCCGGACCCGAATATCTATCCGTTTCAGAATCTGTAGGATAACATATTTAAATTTTATATTGCACGTTTAGCTGTTTTGGGCTTTAATTCCACAATTTTGATTTTTGTTACATTAAATTATACATTTTTGTACATTTAGTGCTAGATTAAATTATATATAAATATATATATAAGTGTGTGTGTAAGTATTTGCTTTTTATTTTACTATCTTGTCCATATTAAATTTATGATTTAAGAAAGAAAAATATGAGGAAGGTAAATGATTCCGTGACTGACAGATTCGAATTTAATGTTACAAAAGGAGGAAGTAAACACAAGTGTAGACAGAATATTCTTGGAATAGAACTAGCCTGAAGTAATTCAATAAAAAAACTGCCTCCCTTGTTTAGACTTAAATTCTCACTCTTTCTTAAGTCCTTTAGTATACCCTCTGGCTTTGAAGTGAATCGTAGAGTATCTTGAATAATGATATAAACTTTAATGTTGATAAAGAACCAGTAGTGGTTTCTTGTTACAAATTGAGTCCCCTTACATCAGTTTATGTTGAATACTATTTTTCTCAATTAAAAGACTTATTAAGTGGTAGGAGAAACAAATTTCATAGACGTAAAATCTAAAAGTTATTGATATGGTTTTGAAGAACAATAATTTAGCTTTGCAATGGTTGTAATAACGTTGACTTAGGAGAAAATCCTAAGGAGTTAAACTATAACAAAAATTTTCATAAAATTGAGTCCAAAAATTTATATTCTTTTATTACCAAGGAAACAGTTATTTAAGAGTTTAAGTGGACTTTTTTAAATATTTTATATGTGGATTTTAATGTGTTTTTATGTGAATATTTTTTAATCCACTCCTGTCATAGCCTGTGAGTGCTGTGATCACAATAAGCGGATGTGATCAAGAACGAATCTGAATCATTTTTTCTTGACAAAAATTTACTTGGCTTACTATACTGGAAGCGACTTTAGGTTTTTGTGATTCATTATACGTTAGAACATGTTTAATACCTGAAGTATCCAAACGATTTGGCCTGCGGTCCACATTGAGACCTCCACCAAGTCCGCAGCATTGGGCACTCTTGTGATAAACAAATATATATACATAAATATATATACATAAATATATATATATATATATATATATATATATATATATATATATATATATTATATAGATATTGTAATGTAAATATTACTTAGTGATTTTGAATAGTGGCGCGAAGGTAGTGGCATCACAAACTGCTGCCAAAAATGGACAAGGGATGACAGATGGTGGGGAAAGAAGAGTATATGTGTGAGGGAGAAAGTAGTCAGCCGGCTAGTGAACAGGATTGGTGAGAAGAAAATGAGAGTTAACAAGTAGTGAGTGTCTACAACTAGGCAGACGAAGGCAAGAAAACAAATAATAAGAGAAAGTTGTAGAAGTTGGATACAATAGCGAGGAAGATTCACTGCAGAACAGGGTGAGTGAAATATAAATAGACAGTTCGAAAGCGTACCAAGATTAGACCCCGACAAATGAATGGAAATTCAAAAATGTGCTGTATAATTAATGTATGCTTTTATATTGTATAATTGAGGATGTGTGTTTGTCGTCTAAACCCAACCTGAGAATTAATTATTGTGTAAAATAAATATTATTTGATTCAGAAAATGTTTTGTTTACTTTTCAGAGGGAACGTAATCTTACTTCAGTTGAGAAATTTTTTCAGTTGAATCAACATCAGAAAAATTAATATTTTCAAGACTCCAAATTGGGGGTACACAGTTTTCACCTATGTGTACTTAATCAGAGGCCTGGAACCACCACTCTGAGAAACAAGCAACACACCTCCAACACCAGAATCAAAAGACAAATTGATTTAATGAGAGTCATTAATTTTTTTCATGTTGTATAGTTGTAATTTTTCATTATGTTATTATTCTATGTAATTATTGTATTCATTATTGTAATTATTCTAGTCATTTAATTCTTGTAATCATTATAGGAACTATTGATGTTATTTATTTTTTGTATTTTAGAGATGGATATATAGTTGATTGTTGAAATTGTAAATGAAAAATGTTCAGGATGTACAGTCAAAAAAAGTGTTTATTGATTTTGCCTACATTTCAACCCAAGCATGTGGATCATCATCAGGGCAATGATTTGAAGTCCGGACAAGAACTCTCCATGCTGGACAAGAACATTTCTTCTTAATTTTTTAATTTATTATTGTAATTATTCATGTCATTTAATTCCTGTAACCATTAGATCATTATTGTAATCATTTAATTATTAGTATTGCAATTATTCATGTTATTTAATATTGTATTTACTATAAAATAAATAAAGAATATTTTAAGAAATATTACATCAAGTAGAATCAATATGATGAGGTTTTAAGTATGTATACTTAACAAAAAGTAATAAGAGAATAAGTAATACAATCCTTTTTCAGGAAAATATTTAAAGATGTTTGCTACAAGAGTCGAAATGAAAAGGGCATAGCTTCCCCAAAACTTAAAATTAGCAAATCTTATATTTACTTGTACTCTTAATAATACTTTTATTGAAAGATGTATTTTGTGTGTGTTATTCATATTTCCATTAGATTTTTCAAGATTCTGTAATACTTACACGAATAATTGAAATTATTTTATCATAATATAAGATAAATAAAAATTGTATTTGTAATGAAGATCATTCAATAGAAATGGCGAATTTATTAATTCTGCATAGATTTTTTTTTATTCTATTATGCCAAATATTGTAACTATTTTCTATATATTTTTGCTCTGATAATTACACTTGAACGCTACTTTACAATAATTGCAAGATTCGATGTATTTTATTTCAAATAAATGTATTGAAAAAAAAAACAATTATACAATTTTTCTTCTTTAAATCCTGAAGAATTCCCTTAGCCAAATTCCTCTATTCCTTTTCCTTTTTAATTTTCTCAGTGAACAATGATACTATCCTTAATTAGTTATTTAAATAAAATAAATTAAGCATACTGACTGAGTATGCTATATTTATTAAAAGAAAATATATCATCGATGTTCTGTAAAAAGAATGAATTCATCAAATTTTAGTTTCATAACAACCTACCAATTTGTAAATAGGGAATTGTAACTTCAGATTTTCCCATATAAGAATGGCAAAAACATCACTTTCTTTGAGCAATATTTATTTTTTAAGTAATGTATCGTTTGAAACCACCCTTTTTTAAGAACAAGATACAAGACGACATGAAAACAAAATGAATATATTTTATAAAAAATATTAGTCAATATAAGAAAAGGGAAAGTAAATTATTAATTTAATGAATGGTGAAAATAACACCTAACTGGAAGATTTGTCATTATTTTTCTAATATTTTTACTAAATAAGAATAAATAGGAAGCATTTAGAATTTTTCGAACAATTCTAAAATATTTTGATCGATTCGCAGCATGAATAAACAAGAAAATTACACTGTAGTATAAGAAATATATATAAGGAAAGAAAAGTGTTAATTTAATAAATGGTGAAAATAACACCTAATTAAAAGATTTTTCATTATTGTTCTGATATTTGAACAAAAAAATTAAAAATAGGAAGCATTATGAATTTTTCGAATAATTTTAAAACATTTTGATCAATTCGAAGGATGTAATAGAAAAAGTTCTTTTATAAAATTTATTAAATGGTCTAATTGGAAAATTTAGGAAATAAGAGAAAAATGGAATTATTTTAAATTTTTGGAACGTATTTTTAAATATATCTGATCAATTTCCAGCATGGATAAACAAGAAAAACAAAAAAGTGATTCTAGAAGCGTCTAACGTATGAATTCCGAATTGAAAATCTTTATTTTCATACTATGGAAGCCTGTCACGTTAAGAATTAAATTCATAAACACAACTATTACATATCAGTATTTATAAACCCAGTTCACTTTTAATACCTCTAGATTCCTTCCAAACTTCACTTCATTCACTATATACACTTTTGAGAAACTAACGATAAATAATTAACTAAATTCTGTAATTAATAATGAAAAAAAACATTATGAAATAATGTATTGCTTAATACATGAAAGAATCAGACACTAACTTAGGCCACTTAACAGTTAAGACGATATATACTTCACAAAGAAAACATTTAATAGAATTTATTACACACAATTTTAACTTATTATCATACTATGGAAGCCTGTCACGTTAAGAATTAAATTCATAAACATTTAAACAATAGAACAAGCCGAAAAAACTAAACAATTTTAGCTATCGTTTCTAAGTTTGAACGAATTTTGAATAACAGCTTTTATAACTATATGAAGGTAGCAGCACTATCGAACAAAATTTTTGTATAATAGTTTTAAAACTTAATAAAAGAAAGCAGCACCATCCAATAAACGTATAAAATGATATAATAGTTCCAAAATCAGCTAAAAGAGGTCAGCACTATCCAGGAAACACAGAAAAAGCAATTAGTTCAAATAACTGTTGAAAGATAGCAGCACTATCCAGGGAGTCATTGTAGGGAACACTAAACTCGAACGAAGTTTTTGAAACTGCCGCAAGAGGCCAACACTATCCAACAAGTATAAGAATTCGTAGTTTCAGGAGCTGCCGCTAGATAGCAGCACTACTAGAACTCCTGGTCGATTCGAAAAGTGAGCTCCTTCGACTTCCTACTACCCTAATACAAATCGACAAGTTTCTCGCTAGAAATTCGAATAAAATTCGTAGTTCCTATGTTCTGCCAACAGATAGCAGCACTATCGGTATCAGGACTGCCTCGAAAAGTGAGCTCTTCTTATTTTCTACCCTCCTAATACAAAATAAAGGT